TATCATTGCACGCCGCAAACAGGCGAATGCCACCAGGGACGGTAATCAGGGAACCTTCTCAAAGGAAATGTTCGTTGGCGATCGCTTGTTATAAATTATTGCCACGCAGATGCGCGCGTACGTTTTTAAGTGTCTTACAGATTAAGATGGAAGCTCCATCGTACGTGTGAGTAGCAACAAACTATTTTGCAAGACAGAATACGTAAGCACTCATCCATTTACCCACGCAAGCCTAGCAGCCTGCCATAGAGAGCTGCACCTGTTAACCAATTACCATTGCAAGGCAAAACAACCTACACTAGGTACCAATAACCACATGCACTGCGCAGTAGCCACTGGCAGTGGCATACGCCCTTACATAGTAACATAACTGCACAGTACGAATTCCATAGTAAATTATACGCATTCTAAAGCGCGAGCATAAACCTATGAATGTGAACACATTTGGGACTAACAGGGTTTACTAGAATCCCACCACTCCACCACAGAGTCACCGCAGTAGACGTTAGATGAGCGCTGTCGCTCCGCGGCACTTGTTGGATAAATTTCTGCGTGGCGGCTGAGAATTTGAGCGAGGCGGCCCACCTCGCACGTGTCAATGCAGGGGAAACACTGCGTGTGTATGCATATATATGCGGGAATGATGCGATTGCGATCGCGAACGGTTGGTTGGCAAGTCAAGAGTACACAATCGCTATTGCAACTGCATAGCCGAGACAGGCATTGCGGGTTTTGCAGCTGCGACTGGCTTGTGTAACCAATGATAATGCCTTGACTTCGAGGCGTGCAATTTCGGGGGGCGATTTCGAACAGTTTTCTTTTTAACTGTTGCCCCCGTAATCACATTTTCAGGAGCTCTTTTTGGAACTTCGGGGGCGATTTCGCTTGCCGCCCCCGTGTATTTTTTTCACTGGTAAACAATCTACTTTGAAATGCAGATCGGTGCACATATTGGTAGAAAGAATGTTGTGCGAGTGTTCTATGCCATGTTAGCCTTACTATAATAATATACATTTGGTGTTATGGACGGAGTACTGGTAGGCCTAAGTATCAGACCGGTTGAGGACGTATGAAAACGGTTGGTAAAAACATGAGAAATCCTCGCTTTAAAACGTCATGTTCTCGCAGCAAAATGCATAGATATACCTACTGTGAGCTCGTCCATGTTGTAAAAAATTCACTGCTTATTCGTATTGCTACTTTCACATTTCTTAATAAAATCTAGACGAAAAAACTTATAACATAAAAAACAATGGAAAAATACATTTCTAGTAATTTTTGTTTGTTGGACCAATTCTTCGGCCTGTTTATGTTCTACTCTAGTTTGGTACTGTGCACGTCACAGTTCAAGATCTCACTTTTTTGGGTGGGAAAACTAGTGTCGGATAACAGTGAAAAAAATACACGGGGGCTCGGGGCGATTTAGCCCCGGAAATGCCAAAAGGAGCCCCCGTAAATTTGCATAGATTTCAATGCAAACCAAATTTTAGAGTGCTATTTTCATGCACGCGAGCTTGAAAAGTAGCCTCCGAAAAATAAATTTTAATTTTTCCCCTGTCGGATAATATTCCAGCATGCATAATAAATCTGTTGGACCTGCACCTGGAATGCGTTCAGTCCGACAGGTCCAAAGAATTTCACAATCTCTGCTGATTGTAATTACATTCTGTGACAAATATTGAAGTCTGCTGTGCACTGCTATTAGTTGCAGCTTGGGATCGGTACTACGTCTAAGAGAAGGGGACGCAGACATCACATGCGGCAACACCCGGACTGCGTCGACGATGTTCTTGTTGTAGACATCACGTCTCCCCCAGTGCAAATGCCAGGTAATAAATAAAAGCCACTTCGCGTTAGTTCGTAACCAAATTTCATAATTTTTCTTAGGTTATATTTTGGGTGCACGCGTATTTGTGGGTTTGATGTTGGCTTGTTTCAAACAGATTTAGCATTCTTGTACGCAGCATTTTTTAGTTCCATACTACATGAACGAATTTGGTAATACTGTATATTATTGTTGCAAACATCTTTTGCAGCTGATGGTGTATCATGCATAGATTTGACTCGTGAAGATGATGAATCTGGAAGGAATTTTACCGTTGACCTTACAAATGCCAATGACGTTTCTGCCATTGTAAGCTCTTACTATTGGTGGCTGCAATCAAGCCACCGCATTATTTTATTGTGATTATATATGTAATAGTTCAACTGCACATGGTGAATATGTTACTAATGTCACTAAGGCAAAATATGGATTTGCCTGTTATTATGTCAATCAAAAATATTATTCTCATTGTGTTATAGTAACATATGTATTGGAATGGTAGATATCTAGATATTGTCTATGTATGACCAGGGTTCTCCCCAGGAACTTTAGAAGGCATGTCGGACAATCGAACAATTCGTCCAAGATCGCTAATTGTAGTTAATCGCTTGTTTTACGAGTAGCTCTAATAAAGGGTAAACTCGATCATTTCGGAGGCATATACATCAGGAGTAGATAATAGGGAAGGAGTGTGACATCAATAAACAAGGGAAATTCGTCATTTACTAGCCTTGAAAATAGCCTACGATTACTATACGGCGTAACATCATCCACTTGAGCTCAATCGGAAACAGAGTACATCCGCCTACCATCGGCAATCCTTTCCCTCGTATACACCGCAATCCGGAGAATACAGACTAAAACGTACGACACGGATTTTCAAATTCTTGGCCATCAATCCAAAGCACTGCCGCCTCATATTCAAACAAAAGGCAGCTACTAACCACACATGCCACGGCTTTTTTTTTTATACTGCGCTCACGGCGAGGCTCGTGCTGCGCAGGGTAGATTTGAAAATGATCTGCTGCTGATAGCGATTGCGTGCGTGCGTGCCGGCATGCCTGGTATGACCATACAGGCATACATTGTACTGGTGTACCGGTCAAAGGTTATCTAGCCGAGTGTTGCGTTGATGCCTAACACCCTGGCGAGCCACAGAGCCTCGCCGTGAGCGCAAGCCAGTAACAGTGTGTTTAGTAGCTGGCCTTTTGGTTTGAATATGAGGCGGCAGTGCATTTGATTGATGGCGCCAAAGAATGAAAATCGTGTTCGTACGTTTTAGTCTGTATCTCCGGATTGCGGGGTTATACGAGGACAAGGATTCGCAGCGATGGTAGCCGGATGGTAACTTGTCGATATGAGCTCAAGTTGGATGAGTTACGCGTAAGTAAATCGTAGTATTATAAGGCAGTAAAATGACGAATTTCCCTTGTTTATTGATGTCACACTCCTTCCCTATTATCTACTCCTGATATACATCAAGCTATGAAAACAGATCATGACTTGGAATGTTATTTTAAAAGTGAACACAGTTGTAAATTAAGGCATGCAAATTTGGGCCATTGAGACATGTCGGAAGATTTATGGATGCCGTAAATTAGTTTCAGCTTTGAAGACATGTCAGACCTGCTATATATATGTTAAAGGCCCGGGAAGAACCCCGTATGACTATTTTTGCAAGGTTTAATGAAAAAAGCATATTCTATGGTAATTACTTGTAACACTGTTGCGCAGCCTTCTCTATAACAACCCGTTTTACTTGCCTTGCATTGTATTTTTCTCAGGCAGACTAATCGTGATAAGGTATGTCATGGTCCTTCTTTGCTGAAGCATCGTGGCAATAATTTAGCATCACTGAATTGCAGGCCACTACTCCAAGGAGAAGAACAACGAGGACATCCATTAGAGTGTCGCCATACCGGATGAGACACGAAATAGAACAAGGGGAGGCGAGGGGCCGTGAAGCGGGAGGGGAGGGAAGGGGGAGCGAGGAGGGGGGAGGGCGAGGGGGAGAGGGGGGAAGGGGGAGGGAGGAGGCGAAAGGGGGAGGGGGGGGGGGGGGGGGGGGCGGAAGGGCCGAGGCGGGGGGGAGAGGGGAGGGGAGCGAGGGCACAGTTGAGGGGCCGCGGAGAGGAACGAAGAAGGCCAAGTGATGATATGGCTCGTGTGATGGTGGCAAGTATGGTATGGCTAGTATATATATCAGGAGTACATAATAGGGAGGAGTGTGACAACAATAAACAAGGGAAATTCTGTCATTTACTAGCCTTATCATCACCTACGATTTTACTAACGACATAACGCAACCAACTTTGAGCTTACAAATCGTACACAGTACATCCTCGTTCCCATCGTGTGGAAATCGTTTTCTATGTATAACCTCAATCGGAAGATATCAAGACAAAACGTAGCCACACACTTTTTCAATTCTGTTGCCAGCAAAATCCATTGTGGCAGAAGCTAATTTTGAAACAAAAGGCAGCTAATAATCACACATGTCCAAGCTTGCGCTCTACAGGCGAGGCGCTGTGGCTCGCAGGAAGATTGCATCGTTGAGGCAGGAGTCTAACACAAGATACTGTTTTATTTGATAGACTCATGAGTGCCTAGGGCGGTCGGTATACACAGCTGCCGGCTGAGCTGCAGTAGCTGCGCTGGCGGGGGGGTGCATACTCAGCTGTAAAATAGTCTCAAAGCAAAGGTTAGCTCGCCGTGTTTGCGTCGATTGTCAATCTCCCTGCGAGCCACCGCGGCCTCGACCGTGAGCGCAAGCCGTGGACAGTGTGTTTAGTAGCTGCCTTTTGTTATCAATAGCTTCCTCGGCCGCAATGGATTTTGCTGAGCAAACAGAATTTAAAATCGGTGTGGTATGCTTTTTAGTCTGTATCTCCGAGTGAGGTGTTACTAGGAAAGATTTACACATGATGGGAAGGAGATTGTACTGTGTAACGATTTGAAGGCTTCAAGTTGGGTTGCGTTTACGGTTAAGTAAATCATAAGTATTACAGGCTCAATTTCAACAGTCTCCGGTCGTCCGTGACGACTGATTTTCTCTCGGCAACGCTACAAATTGCTTCCGTGGTTGTCGGTGCCACACCTCTATAAAAATGTTATAATGCGCCGCGTTCACTTTTACATACGGCGCCAGGGTTGACAATAACGCTGCAAACGTACATGTCTTAGATGCATGTCTGGTTCTTTGCCTTGATACAAAGTATAACATTACGTGTTTAAACAAACACAATGTTTCAGTGTTAATTTTCAATTTTTGCTCATCTTGTGACCTTGGAACACAGTTGTAGTACATGTTTGTAATGTTATAGTGTATATGTAGTAGTTAATGTAAATGTTATGAAAATTTTTGCAACTTTAAACATTTATATACGTCATTGATCCCAGCATCAATTACCAATAATTTTATATTATCTTCATATATGAGTGACAACAATGGAATGGCCAGGCTCAGCAATACGAGAAAATTAGATGATTAGGCTTTTTGCTTTACAGCACTGAGCATCACGTGAGCAGAGCGCATGCAGCACATGTTTAAATAATATCCGGACAACCAAAACTCTTGAGGGACAACCCTTTTGGGTCTCTTGGTTGTCCTCCGGACAACCCAAAAAAAACCTTAAAATTGAGCACTGTATTATAAGGCTAGTAAATGACGAATTTCCCTTGTTTATTGTTGTCACACTCCTCCCTATTATGTACTCCTGATATATATATATAGGCTATAGTATATATATGGCTCGTATGATATGGCAAGTGGATGATATGATGTACAGGTGTGTGTGTGTCGTGAATTAGATTTTAAAACGTTTGATTTCTCTAAAATATGTATACGTTTAAACGTGTGTATAAGTCTTTCTCGTGGAAAACCCTTTAAAGTGTCTTTATAGACACACATGTATTGGCCATATATGTTTTAACTTTTACATGAACCCATATTTGTATGAGGTATTTTTGGCAGGCTAGGTAGGTGCCATATCCCATAACTACATTTTAAACTCATGAATAAGCAAGTCTGGTAACAGCTATTGGTGAGAGTCTCTAAGAATGATTGTATTGGCGATCATTAGCACGACCGCGCTGTACGGCTGTACGGCTGTTTTTGTTTATCTCAGGCGGTGGACCCGGATTTCCTTCCCCAGCTCGATGAATCAGATCTCCTTCCATTCTTTGGCAACATTGTAAATGGCCATGGTTCCTCCAACAGGTACAGCACGGCTTTTTTTTATCTGTTATTTATTAGTCATTGTAATTGACATGTTTAATATAATAAGAGCTCATAGTCATTGGAGCATACAGCACTAAAAGCAGAAAACCATGTCTCAGTATCAGTCAAATTAAATAGTGTTAATCATGTAGTTTTCTCATCGAGTCCTCTTTATTGTTCATCGGCTGTGCGTGCTGATTTAATAAATACACTGCTCGTCTCTTTTCCCTTTCATGAGCTAAGCTTGAAGTGCATAAGGTTGCACCAATATTTGGTTGTCAGGGCCAGAAATGACCCATTGGGACGAATCTCACGATCTACTGGCAGCAGTCATGGGGCCGTTTAATTATCACGGGAGCTTGGTGTATCAGAAAGTACATGCTCTAACACTAATAGACGTGTTACAACATTAGCAGATTGCAGGAAGAGTCGCCAGTAGCAGCAGCCTCATCAAGTACAAAGGGTCAAGGTGCAGAATCGCCGGAGAGTAAGATCACGTGTCCTATCTGCTTTGACAGCGAGTCGACAGTAAGTTTCCTGATGACAGAAGAACGTTCTTATGGTAGACCGCATCAAGGATAGAACATAGGCCGGGAGCTAGGAGGGTTCACCGTGCACCCCCCCCACAAACCTCCGAACCAATATTTTTCTGAAGCCCCATGACGCCCTGATCACGAAAATAAATGTTAACATTGCGTAAGTTGGGACGAACTTCCGGTTATGACATCATCCATAGTGAAATTTACCCAAAATGTGAAAAAAATCATAAAATCGTTATTTTTCGATCAAATTAAACAAATGAGGTATCAAAATGACCGCAATAGAATAACAAACACATCTATTAACAAAACAAACTAATATAAAAAGATTTCGTTCCAAAAAATGAATTTATATGAAGTTATATCGTTTAGCATCAAAATTAAAAATTTAAGTGTTCGGGGAAGTCCCAGATCATCGGTTCATAGGAATGCTGTCGGGAATCACACAGGCTCTCGTCGGTACGAAGATGAAACAACAGTCATCAACACAGACTATCTGTCTGTCAGTCTGCCTGCCTGTCTTTCTGTCTGTCTATCCGTTCGTCCGTTCTTCCATCCATCCATCCATCCATGTATCCATCCATGCATCCATCCATCCATCCATCCATCCATCCATCCATCCCATGCATCCATCCATCCACTCCATCCATTCCATCTATCCCATCCGCCCCTAGTGGCGCCATAGCGGGTGCCTATCTCCGTTTCTGTAACCCTGAGGCCCGCAGCTGCTTTCAACAGTAAATGCTTACAGTAAGGGGTAGTCCACTGGTAGGCACTGCGAGTTAACTTGCCACACTCTATCTCTATTTGCTGAATGCCTAAGCATGAGAAGTCGTCGTGTACCATTTTTTAGTCTTTGGTATGACCCGGCCAAGAGTTGAACCCCGACCTTCCACATACGAGTGCGAGCACTTCAACTATTGAGCCATCGCAGTGGTATTCATTCATCATGCATCCATTCCATCCATGGCATGCATCCAATGCATGCATCCATCCATCCATCCAAACCATCCATTCATCCATCCATCCATCCATCCATCCAGCCATCGCATCATCCTCCACCCACCCAGCTTTTATTCATATATCTATCCATCCATCCATCCATACCATCCATCCATCCACCTCATCATCCATCCATCCATTCCATCCATCCATCCATCATCCACCGATGCATCCATTCCATCCATGCATTCCATCCATCCATCCATCCATCCATCCATCCATCCTTTGCAAGCCATCCATCCATCCTTTCCAGCATCCATTCCACCACCCAGCCTTTCATTCCATCTATCTACTCTATCCATCCATCCATCCATCCATATATCTATTCCATCCATCCATCCATCCATCCATCATCCAATCCATCCTCATCCACTCCATTCCTCCATCCATCCATCCATCCAGCCATCTCCACCTTAGCACTTTCATCCGTATCATATCATCATCCATCCATGGCTATCCATCACTCCATCCATCCAATCCATCCATCCATCCATCCTCCAAATCACATCCATCCATTCCATCCATCCATCCATCCATTTCCATCATCCATTCCATCCATTCCATCCATCCATATTCCATCATCCAATCCGATCCATCCAATCCATCCATCTTCCATCCATTCATCGATTCACCCATCCATCCATCCATTCATCCTCGATGCATCCAATCCATGCATCCATCCACCATCCATCCTTAGCAGCCCATCCATCGCATCCTTCCAAGCCTCATTCATGCCCACTAGCCTTTCAATCTCATCTAATCTATATATATCCTCCATCATCCATCCATCCATCCATCCATTCCATCCATCCATCCATCTCCATTCCATCCCATCTGCATCCATCACTCCATCCATCTCATCCATCCATCCATTCAGTCCATCACATCCATCTTCCATCCACCATCCATTCTCAATCCATCATCATTTATCCGATCCATCCATCCATCCATCCATCCATCATCCATTTCCATCTCCATCTCACCTCCACTCCATCCTCCATCCTATCCATCACCATCCATTCCTATCTCCATCATCCATCCATTTCCATCCATTCCAATCCATCCATCCATCCATCCATCCATCCATCAATCCCCTATCTATCTTTTTTTATCTATCTATCTAATCTATGCTAGCCTATCTATCTACTATCCATCCTCATCCTCCATCCATCACTCCATCCCCCATCCACCCATCATCCATCATCCGTCCATCACATCCATCCCATCCATCCATCCATCCGATCCAATCATCATTCATCATTTATTATCCATTATTGCATCATCATCCATTCATGCATGCCATCATCCATGCATCCATCATGCGCCTTGCCTCTATCCATCCTTCAGCCATCCATTGCCATCTTCCAGCCAGTCCATCCATCCATCCATTCATCCATTCATCCTTCCATCCATCCATCCATCCATCCATCCATCCATCCATCCATCATCCATCTATCCACCCACCTAGCCTTTCAGTCCATCTATTCCATTCATCCATTCATCATCCATCCATTCCACACACTCTCTCTCTCTCTTTCTCTCTCTCTTCTCTCTCTCTCTCTTCTCCTCTCTTCCTCTTCTCTCTCTCTCTCTCTCTTCCTCTCTCTCTCTCTTTCTCTTCTCTCTCAATAGTCCATGAGCCATAACCAAATTTCATTTACCAGAAGAAGCGTGAGTTGAACAGAGTCCAACATGGATTTTGGTTAGCCTGATATATGAAGTGTCCACAATCACTTGAGTGTGACTTTCGGGTCAACTTTGCGCAAATCCCGTCCCGTCATTCGGCGGCCAACTTTAAAGTATGGCGCGCCCATCTTTTTCACCAAATGGTGGAGTCAGAAAACTATGCTTATAACTCACTACAGGAATGTTTCTGTGTAGCACTGTAGTGAGCCCTCTCTCCAATGCCTGTCGTATTGGAGATTGCCGCAATCTCGGTTGATATATGATTATAATGCTTTCTTTAGTCAATTATCTGTTCCAAAAATTAAAATGTTGCTTCCTAAAAAAAGTTACCGTTTTTATGCTTTTTTTCACATCTGTGCTTCAAAAAGTTATTCTACCAATTAATGTTAGAATATAATTTTGGCCAAATTTTTGTATTTGGTTATCTAGAAGGCGTTGCTATGAGATATCCACAGAATGTCTTACATTGAATTTTGCCACTTTCGTCATGATCTGACAGCATTTTTGCGACCATAGCAGTACTTTGCATTTTCGCATTTGGGTAGTGCGTTAATGTTGGCATCTCATAGATACAACCATACACAAGTTTATAAATGTTCAAATAAGGTTTCATTATTGATGAATTACATTCTTACATTAATTTTTCATACAGATTTTGCTTTAGTTTTCAACGAATCTATCCGTTTCAATGGACAAATTATAGGAATTTCGCAGCTGTGGGCGGGTGGGCGGGGGGGCATACCAGATCTGTACGATCAACACTTTGACTCGTAATATGTGTCATCAATGTGCTACCATTGATGAATAAAACACAAAAATTTGTTTACAACATTCAGGCCATGCTATGCGAACTCTCAGCAGCCGACTTTTACAGTGCAAACCCTTTGAAGTCTATTAGGACCATTCCCACAATACATTGTAGGACCACAACTTGGGTCCTACATCACCCTCATCCGCATGTAACAAACCGCAGAATTTGGTTTTTTTTTAACAACTACACTATGGACCTATTTTGCATAATATTTTTAGATTATCATCATCTCACTGTCACCTGTTACTTATCTTTGGCGACTTCAATCCCTTCATCTTGATGATTTAGCGCTAGTCTGTAATTTACAAGCTGGGTTGCGCACACGGAACCCATTTCTGCATGCCAGGGACACGTCTCTCGTTGCCACCGACCGAGAGCACATCTTACCAACAGACAATCATATGCAAAGCACCACATCTGGTGCTGGTGCTCTGTAGCCAGCCATATTCTCCAGTTGTGGCCTTATCGATCTCCACACCAATGTACGGTTGGGCGAAATTTAAATTCGCAGTTACTGGTAGACTTCTTTCATCCAAATGGCGGTTATTGGTAGTTAGACGTTCGGTTTGTGTGCTCTTTTAAGGCACCTTTGCACGCGGGTAGTATTGCTCCGATCGTTATGATTCACCCTTTTTCGAACAGGACATTTCATATGTGTAGTGTGACCTTTTTCGCCTTGGAGTGCTATCAAGAACAATAACATGTTACAGCGTGAAGCGACTTCGCGACAAGTTTCTAACATCGCCTCCGTGACACACCATCGTGCCTAAAGACATGAACACTTCCCTGATATTTCTGCGGTTGCTTGCAGATCAGTTTGAACTGCTTTTATACTTTCCCAGACCAAGCAAATGAGCTGACTTGAATCCGCATCCAGTCCAATGCATGTAGACCGATTAAGGCAGTAACACATCCCCCCACAAGATTGTACCCAAACCTTAGAATATGTCGATCCAGACTCATGCTGATTTTTCTTTCCACGTCTCAAAAGGATATCTGGCATACCAATATTGAGTGTAAGGCCGAGGGCAGAAGACAAATACATCTGTATCTTTCTGCAAATCACGACGACCCTTTGGTAGTTCTGCCTGCAGCATGCTTTGCCCATGATCAATCATCACTCATGCAGCCTCATTCCACTGTGTGGCTCGGAGGTCACATCTCTGTCACTACTGTCACTTGGTTATTTTAAAATCATGTTTTCGGCCTGAGGTTAACACCAATTATGGTTTCAAACAAGTTTCTCCCTCGCTATTTCTCTTTCCTTTTCCACGTCTCTGCTAGAGAACAATTGTAAGCTTTGCGTC